ATTTTCAGAAGTATTCCTGTAGCGGTTCTGGTTCAATTTGAATTTTAGACAGACCTCTGGAGGGGGAAGAGATTCCTATTTTATCTGAACAAATTCATGCATATCATTCATTCATTCTTACAGCACCCATCCGCACAGCAGCAGCAGATTTCAGTTTCCTAAACTCAATGCAGTTCAAAATTACACACAACCTCCACTCAAACTACCATTACTGAAAGTGATGCAGTTACACATTAGCATCCCTTCTCTAAAGAAATCTCTGTCCCCAAATCCCAGAAAAGAACAATTCATTTACAAGCTAAGCAAGTAATCTTGAATCAAATCCTGAAGCCTGTCAAAACTAGAATCTCCTAAACTATCAATAAGAACCTAATTTCAAAAGAGGGAACTCAATTCAAGTCACTGCTGCTGAAGTCTTGGTCCCTTTTGCCTAGGTTTCTACCAAATTAGTTTCGAAATGTTACAAACATCTTGAAAAGAAATTAAAAGGAATAATGGCTAAAGGTCTCCTCCTTGATGAGACCAAAGCATCAGACTCTATAGGGTTATCTGACTTTTGGCCACTCATTACAAAGCCAACAAAGTTCCTGAACTCAGCACTACATGAAGCAGAAAAGCTTACCATGTAAAAGATTAAGAGAAAATATTACACTTGCAAATAATGAGGACAACTGAACAGAATCACATTACAATTGCACAGTGGTGAGGTTGAAAATTCAGTCCTCAAATATCATCTCTAAAAACAGATAAATTTTGTTATCCTTCTAACAAGCTGTTGTAATGCTGGACTGGGATAAAACAGATCATGCTGCCCTCTTGTGCTAGATGTGCACAGCAATCAACCCCTTTATTCCTGCAAGTGACACATGAAGAGGAATATATAAAGCATTCACTATGAAGCAGAAAACCTCCACGTTTTCCTCCTTACAGACACATTGACACACATGCAGTTCCCTTACTGCGATGTGGACAGAAGAGAGAAGGACGTTTCAAGCAAAAGAGTCAAATTCTACACCCCCAAAAATAAAGCAAACAAGTTTTGTCAACAGACTAGTCAGATGTGATAAATCCTAAAATACAACCACACAATCTATAACTTCCCATCAAGCTTTCACTATAGCTGTTTAAGTGATGCTGCATAGATGTCTACTGACAAATTTGAATTTCAGTCATAAATATCAGACCATTCTTTCTGAATGTCAGATAATGCAGTAAGATTTAGTCACTTAGGATTATCAGCTCCATAGGGTTAGGTTAAGTGCTTAAGGAAGACACAGTCGTTTATTAATACAGTTCTTCCAGTGTAAAACATCCTTAAAGCAGTAACATCTAACAATTTTTAGATCAATGCCATATTACAGAAAGGTGAAATCTCTGTACATACAAATATTTTTGGGTGGGAAGGGAGAAAGGAGTGGGGTTTTCATATTCCTCTCTGTCTCTGCTATGCAATCCAGGTTCCCAAAATATATTCAAATTATTCTATCATCTGGGTAAGACTCTCGTTATTATTCCCTTTACAACCTTCCCCTCCCTACACATTGCTAATGCAATCTGTAAAGAGAGATCCTGGGCTCATGCCTAAACTGATTCACAAAACAATTTTTTTAGAAACAAGTCATTTCATTTATTCGCCACTACCGACTGGATCTACACTGCTGGGAACCGACAGACATGTCATGATTCACCACGTATTTCCATCTCTTAATGTTGACTCCCTGACGCTGCTCATTAGTCTGTTCCCCCACTAGGAACTATCAAGAGCTTGGCATATCGATTTAAGTTTCCTTCCTCGACTTTGGAACATGGATCACTGTGTGTTCAAAATAATGACCATGGCATTTTTTAATTGCCGATTATTTTTAAGAGAAATAAACGAGCAAAAGTCAGTTCAGCAATTGCTTCTGCTAAGGTCTTAGGGAGCTCACACAAATACTGAGAACACACTGGATGCTTAAATGACAGATTTGTCACTGCAATATCAGCTTTGCTAATATGGGACATGATAACTAATAGCTTGGCTTGGCTATTACAATCACAAGCCTAGAAAAACGAGCCTCCTATAATTTCAATTTCTTTTTAGTACATTTCTCATAGTCTTTAAAAGAGAAAAAAAAGATGACTTCTACTTAAAGAAACCTCACCCCAATGCAAGAAAATAGCATCTCAAGTTCTAAAAGACAAACATGCCATAGAACCCCAAGTAAATCAGACAATGAAACATAGATGTTAAAAACAGAATTTCAGAACTGCTACATGCTGCAGTTCTGAACAAGAGAATCATCGCACGTGTCATCCTTCCCCTTTTCTTTTTTCCTTTTTTGAAAGATGCATAGATCAGAACAGCAGTACCTTTGCATGCTACCATGACCAAAAGAAATACCAAGGGAAAGAAATATATGCACACTGAAGTTAATCTTCTGAGTATCTGCTGATAAATAGAAACACATATCTGTAAGTCATGACAGCGTGTGAACACCAGCGATACGCAGGTTTTATGAATGTCACTTTTACAAAGCGCTGCTAATTTCAGCTTCACAGTACGTTACAAAGCAAACTGTTATTCCTCTGTATTGTCCCTATGTTTACTCTATAGTATAGTATGTTTGTTATGATGAGCCACGCTTACAGGCATTCTTCCATGATGATTATGATTATGTATACCCTCAAAAATAGTTACTGCATATGCTATCACACAAAAAAAGAGTAAAATCCCTGTCTACGTGACAAAAAAATCCATCAGCACTACGATTTCTTGTATGTGCTCTCACTAGCTCTCCACTAACCTGTCTCCCGAGCTTATGCCATCACCTCTAATTCCTGCAGTGGCCTTGAATTTACACTACCACAGACTCACAGTGTAAGCAAATCAGCCTTCAACTTGTGCAGTTGCAGATTATTTTTTCAAAATAGGAAATTGTACTTTTCATTCATCATATTACTGACATGAACCTTTTCTCCGCATAAATATTCTTTCCCCCTGAAAATATTACTAATTTTAATAACTACTCTAAAATAATAAAGCCATCCCTATACAACCTTACAATCATTAAACAGCTTCTGGAACTATGAGAACAAGCCTGTGTTCCTTTCTTCAAGGGACTGAAGGCCATCAGATTCCTGTTTCACATCTCAGACTGGCTATTAAATCAGTACCACCACACTTTGCCACTCTCTTCACTCTGCTCCAGCTTCTCTCTCGTTTCTTTTGAAGAAAATAAGATCTGGATTATAGTTTAAAATTGCATCCTTTACGCTTTTCTCCATTTTGGAAGGATAGTAAGCTACGCAGTTTCTCAAGACCTGTGAATTACCACACATGCTTAAAATTACTTTCTTATAGGACACGTCATTTTTGGGCTTAAACTTTCAAAGAAAAGCACAAGAAAGGCATCCCCAGAAAATGCATGCATGTACATTCAGCATATGGAAGAGACTTAACCAGAACACCAGCAATGCAACCAGCAGGTCAATGTAAAACAATGTACAATTCATTTTTCTGTAAACTGCAGTTGAAAAGAGTAAGACCAACCATCAATAAGCAGTCAGTCTGCCTTAAATTTTAATGAACACATTCTGATTTAAAGATTTTAATTAAAAGAAGCAAAAAGCCCCCACAAGTGTGCAAAAATACTGCAAGTTCATAATTCCCAGAAATAGTATAGTTAACAATCAATGAGGCAGATTAAACATTAAGGGCATTTTCACTATTAAACTTACCTATAGGATTTCTGTCATAAAACAAGACAGGAGCTTTCAAAATGGATTGAAACATTTTGTTGTGCAAAGTCTGACCAGAATTAACGAGAATTTGAAACACCAGAAGACTTCTTATTATGCCAAACAGTATTGTAGCCACTGTTAAACCTGAAATTAAAAAAAACATGGACAGAGCATGCATACAGATATGGATCTTCCACAAGGAAAATAATTTAAAAATGAACTAAAACCAAATTTTGTTGACTTCTGTATATAGCAAGAATTCAAACTTAAGCCTAGGGACTCAGACTGAGCACAGAACATGGACATCTTATATTTGTCACTAGCTTCAGTTACTATCATGTCATCGATTTAATCAATTTCTCTTTTTCGGTCTGAAATAACTGGTACTTTACAGAAATACAGGAAATGCCTGTTAACCCATAAAATAAATCTGTATTAAAACCTCCTGCATAACAGCTCTGCTAAGAAATTCATTTCACAGTGCCGTGTGTAATTGTGGCTTGCAGAGGTCACTGTGAAGATTCAACATTTGCCAGCAGGTATTAGCCAAGTAATACATACATGGCTATTTAGAGACAACCTTGAGTTATTCTCAATCAGCCCAAACCACTCATGCCATTCTTCCCCTTGTAAACCACATCAAATCATTTAAATTATGTGTATTTCTTTAACACAGTATAAAATGCATCCCTCATGCCATGTGAAATAGAGCCCTTCTAGGGAAATGGTCTGCAGGCTGTTTGTCTTTCTTCTGGGCACATCTCCACTTACAAGACGGGGGTGCTACAGGGCAAAAGATGGAAATAAAGAACGATGAGATTGCTGCTGCTCTGTTTGCTGCATGTAACCTCCAACACACCCACCCAAATTCCGAGTTGATGATGACGAACAGTGAAGGTATTAACCTGGTATCTGGCAGGGCTTTGGGCTCCAGGTGATCTGCTCCAGAAATGGAGCACAGCCACAACAAGCTCAGCCCTTGAGGATACCCTTAAGTTAGACCCTAATTATCAACATAAAACATGGACCAATTCTAAGGACAGGTTAAAACTGGACGCAGTTCAGGTACACCCATAGTAGCAGTGGGGAAAGACTGAGGTTTTAAACTATATGATGTGGTTAAATCAGTCAGCCATTCCATGCTGCTCACTGCTGTATCCTCCCAGGATGCAAGAAAACATTTCACTACTTGATTTGTCTGCTCGCAGTTTATTGCCTATGTTCAGCACAGTGCTGTCTTTAAGAAAAAAGCACGTGGCTGAGATGAGAGCTTGTTTGCCTTGTCTTGACTCCCCTATTCCAGGCCAGGTAAAAGAAAACAACTTTTCCAAGAGTAACTGCACATACCCAAATAGGAAAGCTGGGTCATGCAAAAAGAGAGCAGAAGAGGTACTAAGCGAGAGGCTGTGGCAGAAGCCACGCCTAACAGCAGGCTGTGGGAGCAATGGGAGGAGAGGGAGCGTGTCCTGGGAACCTCACATTTCTGTAAAACTTCATTCAGGCTTAGAAGCCACTGGAAGCTGCTGGCACGACCCTCACCAAACACATCACCTGAAAAAAACTGACGACTGGGGAGAAGAGGCAGGAAGGAGGTTTACTTTCAAGTCCTTCATCCAGTCTGTCTCATGCCAAAGGTTTTTGCTTTCCCCATTTACAAGCTTACCATCTCAGCATGAGAGAGACAAGGACTCTTTGCATGCCCCCTTTATAGAAAAGGTGTGGAACTGGCACCTCAGTTCTGGCCAACAGGGTTTCCCATTAACAGAAACTTTACTCTTCTAAATCTTTGTCTCATAGAAACAACACGGACTAGGAAGGAACTACCATGGTGATGGTTTTTTTTTCCTCCAAACACTGAGAATCAGAAATAAAAATGTTAAATTATTTTTTATAGCTTCAGAGGTTATAGAAAAAGGTAAGTTAGATTATTATGTACTTCATATGAAATGTACTATCTTTTTGTAACTTATTCAAATTCACTTACAATTTTAGTAGGTAAATCAATGCTGTCTGTTCAACTATTGCAAATATCTCACTAAACCATCTGAACACTTCAATATAAAGGTAACTTTTGCTGTTCTGCTATCTGGAACAAAATTTGCCTTAAAGGATAAAATTTTCCGTAAGGTGGTTTAGGTTACATGGTCAGGAAAAGCCAAGTTTGCCACATTTAATCATACTGTGCGGTCCACTGGAATGGCTCATGAAATAAGACCTTCCACAGAGAAAAAACGAGCCAAGTTTATCTGGCTCCTAAATTGTTGCTTCCCAGGCCAAGTACAATACTTTCTGTCAAGCACTTAGATAACACGGATTCCCCCAAAAAAACCCAAAGAAAAAATCCTCCACCTATCCTCTCACCCATAAGAGATGTTTCTGAATACATTCAATGCATATTCTTCTGGTGTTCCACCTGTTTTCTCAGACCTATCATTTACATCTCCACCAAGAAATTACCACGCCATACAAAACTGTGCATCACTAGAAGTGCTAAATGGCAGAGTCTGGGAGCGTATTGCTACACATGACTTTTCTATACCAATTTTTACTACATTTCAGAGCCGTATTTCAAGCTGTTTGGATGCCTCAATACAAGCATCTGTGCCCTTTTCTGGATATTCAGAAGCACATGACTACCTATTAAAATATATTGAAATGTTTTTTAACATCCTGCTTTGCATACCCATCTAGCATGCTTTATAAAAACTGGTTCTTTTGCTATGGCACTTCAGAAGGAATGCAGCCAAGCCAAGTTTTAGAACAGCGCAGAAAGAAGAACATTTCTAATCCCTCTTGCCCATCCATATAATGACTGAAGATTTAGCTCAATGACCTATTAGTATAGACAATAACCACAACCTTACGCTGACTGAGTTTCTGAATACTCAATTCCTCGTTTACTTTCCAAAATCCAGGCAAAGCAAATTAAGAGTCTGCATTCAACCTATTTCTTCTGCTAGATTTTTAAATTTTATTTATTTCAATTAATTTAGTCAGGAAGCAAGACTCAGGCTCCTAATCTGTTAAGACACTACTCGGTTACTGCTAAAAACCACATTTCCCCACATTGCCGTTGCTTCGCATCTCTCAAAACCGTTTATTGTAATAGGTCAGATAATAAACAGTCAGACACACACAGATGCATGTGTAATTACCTGCATAAATTCCCAAATAAAAGGTAAGGTCTAGGCGTTCAGTCTCATTTGCTCCATTATTTCCATTTGTTGTGAAATTCAACTTTTCTTGATGATTTGCCCTGCAGAAATGCATACAAAAGATAATGATCATCAGATCACATTCTACAAATATTCATGAGTACATTTAACTGTTTCTAGATTCAACTCTGTTGGAACCTTTAGTTCAAAAGATCCCATGTACCAATGTTGTCATGCACGACACTATGAGCAGAAGCGATCACAGGCTACACTTCAGCATAAAGTTTAAATGTTTTTCCACATACAAAATAAGTGAAGATCAGAAAAAGATCAAGCATATTCTGAGCATTCCTAGAACAGGGGTTTTCCATCCTCCCACCTATACAACACTGATTTCTACCAGACAAACAGCACTTGACTGAAAAGACAGAAATGGCTGACCAGTTAATATCATCAACTTACCAGTACGAAAGCCACCAGTCCTGGAGCACATATGCCACCTTGAGTAAAAGAGGCAAATACAAGAATCATCTTACAAAATTAAAAAAAACACACATTAGAAAATTAAATTTCTTTGCTATTCTTTCATGTTCTCTGGGAAAACATCACATATTCAGGAAAGCATGCCATCCAGACTTTCAAGACCAGCAGCAATTTGCAAAGCACATTAGAAGGTGCATCAGAACCCTCTACAAAGAAAGAAGTTACCTTAAATTACCTTACCTGATAGCAAACTAAAGGAAAGCAATATACTTACGCAAACAAAATATAGTGGCTCTTACTAATGTATGTTAATTGCACATTAAAGAACGCATTTTTTTCAGTTCCTAAATTTGCCACTAGAGATATTTCAAAATGCTTTTTGATTAACAAACTTTCTGATGTTACTAGTCCACAAATTTGTGTTTATGGGAGATAATAACCAGAAACAGGGTTGAAGGAGGATGAGAGAAGAGAGGGAGGGAAAAACTCCTACTGCCACTTTCCTTCTGTGCTGAGAGGTGACTACAAACTTTTAACAGGGTTTTTTATCTCAAAATACACCTCTGTTCATGTGAATTTCAAGTGGGCAGTCTACTGCAGAGCTTTGGTCTTGCTCAGCTATCTTCACAACAGACTCAGTTCAAGAACAAGCAAACACAAACTAACGTGTCTAAATATACAGACTATATTTTACAGCTAAGACCAATCACTTCCATTAAATTAAGCTTTCTCAGCAAGAAACAAGAGAAAAACACAGTAAGGTATCTTCATGCAGTTTCCTCGGCCCACCATTTCTTTCAGTAAGTTTCAAAATAATTTTCCTTGTTTAAAAACTCTTCTACGTACCTGCTACAGACCGCATTACTACAATATTACCTATTCTCTTCCTCGCTTTCTTCTTCTGCTAAACAGCGACCCTCCTTCTAGCCCTTCTCATAACACACCCTTACCAGCAGACAAGGTTTTCTTTTAACATTTTTGTTAGACTCCCATAATCCAACCTCTTTACCCTCCCTGAACTGAAAACATACTGATTGTTCAGAAATGTTAAACGCTATTTTATACACCTCATGATTTTGTTCTCTATCTCCGAAAATTAGACTGGCTTATAATTTCCATGCCATGCTGCCAGTAAAATAATTCTTTATTGAGGTGTTAAAAGGGTTGAAATAAGGATCAGTGCAAGATCTCTCAATGCTGTACTAAAACTCCATGCTGATATATAAAATTTGATGAGTATACTACAAAATTATTAAAGAACACAGTGTTGCCAAACATTCTAGCTGAAACATCACAGTAACAAGCATACACTGTTTTAAAAAGAAAAAAAAAAAAGAAGAAAAAAAAAGGCAAACCCAAAAAACATTCAGTTCTATTTCTGGCTCCTGAGAACTTACCTGTGCCAAAATATTGAATAATAAAAGTATAAAAATCACAAAGTAGTTTGCTCCTGCAGTGAAATATTTTCTGTAAACCTTAAAGTTTATTTGTCCTTCAGAGCGACTCTCCTCGGGCACTGCAGCCAGTGCACTTTCAGCCTGAAAAATAAACGCAGAACAAAAATCATCAATCTTGGAGTTACAGATTCAGAGTAAGCCACTTGAAAGCCATAGTTCAGAATTAGTAAACAATTAAAGAGATAACTTTAGGTTTGACAAAAAAAAGCAGTCTCAGTGTTGTAATACTGAAAAATCTACCCTGCAGAATGACACTGTGAGGATTTTGTTTTGCATTGCATCACAGTATGCAACATTTCATTTACAGCCAGAAACATTTACTCTAACTGCTAAACCAGGTTTTTCTTTTCTTATACACTACCTTGAATTGTAACAGCTCTGAAAACTCAGGCTTTGACTTGGGAAAGATTCTGTTTTCAGAACGAAAGTGTGTGTAACCCTTCCTTTTCAGAAAAGTATTTAAAGTAAATACTCTTCGGCAAGTATGCACCAAAATCAATCAACATATGCTCGGAGTAATACATTACCCCTAAAGTTCTAATCACCTCCCTGCAAGTACCAACAAAGTACCTGTTAATTGGGAAAACAAGTAAAATGACAAATGAGAAATCAAATTAAGCAAACAATGGATGGGGGACATTGAAAGACAGAAACGGAAAGAATGAGATAGGCATACAGAAAGTAGAAGAACTATTCAAATGAACAAAATTCTGGTTTGGATTCTCTTGGGTTTTTTTTAACAGTATATGTGACAGAAAAACTAGTGCCAGTTCAATGGACACTTCACACTTGATTTTGTTGTCAGCAGATACGGCTGTACAAAAGCAGTGGAATCAACCAACCTGACTCAGCTGTGGAAAGAGAAATCCCACCTACTCACCTATAAAAGATGAGAAACCTATCTCGGTTTTTTGTTTCTCCAGCCTCCTTCCCAGTCCAACACCTCTAACGCTGCTAAGAAGTTTCAGACACCTCTGTGGATTTTACAGTGGAGTCACCACTGGGATGTCAATAATATCGGGTAAGTTTACCGCTTTTGGGCATAAAATCATTCCTCCAAAAAAGGTATGAACAACAAAAGTCTGTAGTAGGTTGGGTTTTTCGGTATCTCACTGCTTTTCATTACAGAAAAGAACAGGAAATAATAAATACTCCTAGCATATGGGTGACAATCATCAGGGACACACGGAGATTACTTGTTCCACGTGTTCCAGGGATGCAGTGCTACCACAAGCCTAGCAGGGTTACAGGGCTCCTGCATGGTTTTGTGGGAATACAAGCACACCAGCAGAAGGCCACCTCTGGCACAGAAACCTTACGGCTGCATTTGCACAGTGCAGACCAAGAGACAACACGGCACCTGGAAGTGAAGCTGGCACCACACAAAGCATGCTGTTTTCACCAACAGAAGGGTTAGGAGAGCAATGCAGTGGCGTCCCAAGGTTACCCCCTCAGGGGCAGCTCAAGATCATGTGGGTATGTTAATACCAGACATGCAAGTGTAGACTTTGTATAAAGCCATCGCTTCTGCATGCACTTTCTAGAGCACAGGATTTCAGGGAAAATATTAATTTGAGCTCAGCACTGCACGATCAGACAGAACCTACCCACTACAGTGGTACTGGCCCTGTAAAGCACTGCTGTCAGAGGACAGGACGAAGGAAGCGCAGCGTGGTGTCCCTGGATGCCTACAGCAATGCTTGCTGCACCAGCAGAGCTGATGCTGAACCTGAAAATGCTCACTCCGACGGGTTTGAACAGAAGAGTGCAGAGCGGCGGGATGCCTGCCCTGTGCAGCCCCGGTGGCAGGACCGCCAGCCAAGCACAGCATTGGGTGGACCCTCGCCTGCTAATGCGATCCAACCATCCCAACTCAAATGCAGCAGGGGAGGAAAGCCCTCATCACAGGTTCAGTTAAAAACCAGCCAGACAAGAACTGAGGCACATCTACCCTTTGAGCACTCACAGGTGGTTGTTCCACTGCTCCATCTTTCTGTGACGGGACAGAAGAATCCTGGGACCAGACGGAGGACTCCGAGAAGGTTCGGCTCCGGGCGGACTTCAGGTTGGGGGTTCCTGGAACTGACAGCTGTTCTACCTCCTCGTCTTTTTTCAAAAGGGAAGCAAAGTCGATGCCAGATCTCAGGAACTCTGAATAGGTACCTTTCCCCACCATTTTACCCTACAATTAATACAAGCTTTGATTATCTTCATTACACACTTTCTAGAAAGGACAATTTTTCCTGTCTGTCGCTGCTGCCTCTGAGGTTTTGCAGCTGCTGAGCACACATCCCACAGCAGCGACTGAGATGAAGCTTCTAACTATCAGTTCCTCACTTAGAAGAGCAGAAACAAGCTCTTCACCTTCTAACCAGTCCCCTCCCAGCAGCTAACCAGGCCAAAGAGCGTGCAACCGGGATGACAAAAGTCCCAGTTACAACCAGTGAGAACTACCTCTTTGGAGAAGCTGCGGGAGACAGCCATGCAGCTTTGGGACAAGCTGTTGAACTACATACGTAACTTTAGGTGTTTTTATATTACACCAGGGTAGGGGTAAACAGCAGCTTAATCTTCTAGTCCTCACAGTGCTCTACAAGGAGCAACACAGACCATTTCCGCCCTTCTTACAGCTCTGTCACAAACAAATGTCTAGAAAGCTACGGTAACTTTTAGACAGATCTGAATGGGAGGAAAAAGACAGTGTCGCTTCTTGCAACTTTGTGATGCATCAGGAGTAATTTGAAGTACTTCCCTACTCAACCTTAAAAAAAAACAAAACAAAACAAAAAACACAGCTTAAGTTCTTGCCTTTGCCCTCTACCCGTGTAATCTGGTACAACGAAGTTTCACTGAAGGCCTGCTCATTCTCAAAGTCATCTATGACCATTTCTTGGCCCCAATTTAAAAACAGGATTGGCTGCAAACCTAACACAGTTCTTAATTCACACAAGTCTAAGAAACAAGAATAAAAGCAAAGTATTAACATAGCCTCAAAAGCAGCCATTCTCTCTCAGTATATTTTATATATGTTAAGATAAAAGTCAATATGTAAGATTACTTACATGCATGATCAAAAATCAAAACACATTTTTCAGGGAAGGTATTCTAAGAAATTCATTCACAATAATTCATTAATAATTATAAATATTTTAAAACATATATGGTCATCAGTACACAGAAAATGTATTTACAGACACAAAAGAAAAACCTTTAACTGCTTATTTCCATCCTTAGATTATAAAAGGCAATTAGACAGTATATGAGATATAAAAGTATAGACACCGATACCACTTACATCTTTTAAGATTAGAATCTGATTTGCAGCATGGAGATATTGCAACTGGTGAGTGACCAAAACAGAGATCTTCTGATGTAAGGCCTGACAAATGCATCTGCAAAGAGATGGAAAAAGAATCAAAAAATGAAAATGAAATGTCCTAAAACATTCTGACTGTTTCTGGAAAAATTCTATTCAATAATACAGTGTTTAAAATAAAAAAAAAAAGACACCCATGATTATCAGAGTTATCAAAATTACACTTAAGACAACACGTTCCGTATTTAACTTTCTAAGCTTTCAAGGTAAGGAAAAGAAATTTTAGATTTCTGGTCCAGGGTGAAAGAGGAGGAAATATCTTCAGGACATTTTATCAAAATTGTATTAAACATCCTCCTAACATATGTACATGTCATAAGCTGAATTACAAAGAGGTTATTTAACAAAAATAAAACTAATGGAAAGAGGAAGCAGGGCAACACACTATGGGCAATTCTGGAAAAATAAAGCCAGTGAAAGTAACTGAGACAAGCTTTCAGAGCAGCTGCTAACAGTACATCACTGGACTGCTGGAGAAGTAAACAGTACTGTTGATCTGAGCTACATCCAGGTATGTACTGAGATGAGGGAGTTAGATCCTTCAACCATCTCTGACCTTTTCCCATGGCAGCAGGGCTTACCTTCCTCTCCAGTATCTGACCTGCTCACCACCCCTCACTGGGCATCCGAGGCTTCCCTGGAAGTTTGGGATTTGTGAAGAAGGGACCGGATATGCCAGAACCAGTCAGCAAGTGCAGTTCAACTCCCCACAGTTTTAGCAGAAAAGGTATCTGATACCTTTCCAGAAGAGCCTTGAAAGGTCGACAGAGCAGAACACACACCCCCCCAAAATGCAGCAGTGTAGCAATGGTTTACAAGCGCAGAAGTCTGCAAGCACACTCTGCACGTGCAACAGGGACAACACAGACACAACTGAGTATCCAACACTCCTGCTGCCTTCATCCCCACACTGCCACAGCAGGGATACACACCCTGCGAGAGGATTCTCCTTTCTCAGCCTCTCGCTATCTTCAGAAAACATGGAAAACTGGTATTGTCTAGAACCGAAGTGTCCAGCGAAGGTGTGTATATTAGCATTTTCCACTTGGATCAGGAACAGATTTTGGAAGATCATTGCCCAGTTACCTCAACTCATTGTGCTGCGGCTCATACCGCTGCGTGGTACTGGGGCCTATGAACCAGATTTCTCCCAGGCGAAACCAAGCGGGAGCCCACGCTACAGCAGCACCCCTCGCCAGCATCCCGCTGCCAAGAAGAACACTGCCCATGGGGCCAGGCTGCAGCCTGCTCAAAGCAGAACCTTCTGCACCACACAGGGACCTGGGCACCGCACCTTTTGCTCCACAGATCTGCTCCTGTTCAGCTCATTTTCACTAACACGCTAACTCCCGTTTGCTAACATGACACAGGAGGGTGGCACTCACCACAAAAGAAAAACAAGCAAAAAAACACACAGAGATTCTCTCCCTCCAGCCCCCCCAAAAAACACAAGCAAAACCACAGCAATCCAGTAGCACAAATTCAATGGAGAAATGCAAATAAGCAGTAAGGGGAATAAGGCAGAAAAAGACCATGAGCTTAACAGCAATGATATCATACTGCTTACAGCGTTTCATACATTCATGTTGTATATCCGATTAACTTCCTATGCAGCTTTTAACATCTATTTTATCACTCCTACAAACACTGTAGGAAGTACAGTACCATAGCATGGTTGACACTAGTACTAAGCATAATTACCCACAGAAAGCACATTATACTGTTCCAATTAAACTGTGCAGTAACCTTGAGTTAAAAGCAACAGTCTTCCTGAGAAAGTTACGTGCTTGCTATGCAGCATTCAAGCAGCAACTATAAAACTATGGTGTCACTCTTAGGTGTCCAGGATAACCATTAATCAAGGTATTTGCAGCAGCTTAACAACTGGAGCAGTTGCAATTATTTACGCACCAAGCTCTTCATGGGAGTATTATTCTGGTGTGGCTACTGTCCACCCTCGGAACAGTCACTGAAACAAACCACATGGCAACCAGAGCACCAGCTGAAGACACGCAACAAAACATAATCTTCACCAAAACCTATACAGAAAACTGGACAAAGATCAGAAAGGATATTTACTTGCCTAGCAGGAAAGCTGCTAAAAGAGAATACATCAAGTATTCACCATCAAGAGATCTAGCTTTCCCTTACATGGTCCCACAGCCTATATACCACTCTGATCACTGAATTTTCTGTGTGCCAGGTGTATGTCTAACAGCTTACAGGGAGAAACTAGCCACTAGAAAATCCAACGGCTGCTAAAACCTTTAAATCTTCATCCTCATCATGGTGAGCCCACTGCACTTCAGGTTTGCATTTGGAAGGGGAAAAAAAAAGAAGAGAAAAAAAAAGTGGGTTATCGCAGCATCAGAGCAAACCAATTAGAACCGTCAGAGCTGTCAGCACAGCAACCTGCATGATCTTGATCTCAGGAGAGAAGGCAAAAATGACCTCTGTGGAAATTTATATTTTCACTGATACATCAGCTCACTCAACTGAGAATTTTTTTAAAAAAACAACAACTCTCGATTTGATGTCTATCTGGGTAGAAAGAAGCTAGCTGAATAGTTTCTTGATAACAAGTGAGTAGAAAAATTGTTGTCACAATTCACTGGCATGAGCACAGGGAGGAAAAATCACAACAAAGAGTGTATACTTAGATCTATTACTGAGTTAAACAACTCACTGCTCAGACAGCTCACTAGAAAATTTTGCCATTTAAAATACTGTATCATCATGAAGCACACAAGTTGCAAAACTAGTAAAATACTAAGTATATACTTAACATCTGTTTCAAAACAAACTCTTTGAGCTTTATGTTGGAAACCTTTTTTTTTTTTTTTTAATAGTCCCTCCCCCATTGGACAAAATCCATTCTGCAGCTTGCAGCGAGCATTAAGTTTGTACTGGGCCTTGGCTGCCACAGAAGACTGAAGCCAGAGTTCAAAGAGCAGCTCAGCAAAACCAAACGTGATAAAAGCGCTGGCACAAAACTCAGAGAGCTCACCACATCCTTACTAGTGAAAACTTGGTATTGTCTTAGAACTGAAAGAGAAAAAAACAAACAAAACCAAATCACCCAAAATAGTCCATAAGTGTTTATGGTATTAACTGGTTCACTAAAGCTTAGTTTCATCGCGCATCTCCTTTTAGAAATACTGCTCTGTGTAACTGAAGAAAAGCAACCATCAGTTCTGCGTGAAACACCCAATTCTAGGTGAACTGCCATCTGATCCTGTCTCCCTTTCTCGCCAACGATGCAGAGAGCCCAGCGAAAGTCTGCCTCAGAAGGAGACATAGCTGGTCCCAGGGTTCAGATGTCTGCTGGAGCACGCCCAGAACTGCCACCACCTTTTCACCTGCTGTTTAAAACTCCACAAAGCTCACCTTCCTTGTTCTTCTCCGTTGCTCTTGAGGGGCACACTGTCAGTTAGACTCTGAGCACATTCGGTGTATGACAACAGGACAAATTACTGCACAAATTGCAGTCACCATTGCCACATTTTTTAAATACACAAGTGCACAGAGACACACACAGCCAGAGAAGATCCAGACATGGAAGACCCAAAGATTCTTCAGCACAAGGGAAAGGGTGACGAAGGAACTATAGAAGTTGCATCCTCTTCCCCAAGTAAGCATCATTTTAAACTTCAAAGTGTTCCTGGTGGATGTTGGATGGGTTGTTCTGCATGCTTATTTGTTTTCAGCTCAACAACAGAAATTCCAACATCTTTGAAAACGTATTCCAGGGGCAAGCTGCCTTCACTGTCACAAAATATTTCTCTGAAGTCCAAGTTTATGTCTTTTGGTGCAATTTAAATCCACTACTTCCCAAAGGTCAGTAGATCAATTTATTCATGTGTACGCAGTCACTTCATACACTAATACATTGTCTTTCTCTTCTAGACCCGGGGGGGTGGGTGTCCCCCAAATCCAAATATACTTATTTCTTATTTTCTTTCTTTCTTTTTTTTTAAAGTGACGAACAGTTTTCTCTTCCCCCCTCCCCGACACCTGAATGTGCTTGATGGGCTACACTGGAGTCTGAACCTGGTCTACATTTTTTGGATGTGCACAAAATTGAAACATTATGCCAGTTGAGACCTTAAGGTACAAAACATAATAGGAAGATTACGCTATCTCTACTGCCAGCTACAGTACTGGACATAAATCCCAGGGCACAGTTTCCTTAACAAGAGCATGACATTGTTGACTCTTGCTGGATCATAAGATCTACCACCATCTGCACCTCCTTTTCCATAAGACTGCCACACTACTGATCCCTGCTCATTGTGTGTTCATGGAGCCAAGACTTTGGACTTGTCCCTCCAGTATGAGTCTATTAAGTGACATCCTGTAACCAAGACTTTCCAAATCCCTGTCCGTCTCCAGAACAGCCTGAAGCATTGCCCAATTGTCTATCACCTGAGCATTGCCCAGTTTTCTATCACCTGAAAATGTAGCATCAGTGACCTTCACTTATCACCAGCAATACCAGACTTGGGACAGAACTCTCCAGAAATTACACTCTTCCAATTAAAAACAAATTAACAAACAAAAAATATTTTAAGTAAACAAATCTAAGTGACAGTATACTATTACCCATTTAAAAAATCCATTGCACTTTGACAGCAAATTTCTACACAATTAAAAAACAAATTAGCTTGAGCTTTGATACTTCAGAGCACATAGCAGAAGACACTTACTCAGAAGGGGGCTTACAACACAGTGCTCCTCTATGCAAACGCAGTGTCTTGGTGCTTTCGAAATTTCCCTATCAAGGTTTCTTTTCTTTGAGACAAGTTGGTCTTTAATCTTTTTTAAGTTTTTATCTCCAAGCACCAGCTTTCTTTCACCTCTGCAAAGTGCCTCTTCTTTAATGATTCCACTTTCTTCCTTACCTTTCTTTTTGCCTCTCATTTTTGGAAGTTCACATGCAAGTTTAACTTTAGTTAGTACTTCTGTTTGCTTCAACGGAAATAACCACCAAGATAAAATTAAAGCACATGCAGAAGT